AGGAGGGCACTGCAGCGGCAGTACTGAATTAAGCAGGGCACTGCAGCGGCAGTATCGAATTAAGCAGGGCACTGCAGCGGCAGTATCGAATTAAGCAGGGCACTGCAGCGGCAGTATCGAATTAAGCAGGGCACTGCAGCGGCAGTACTGAATTAAGCAGGGCACTGCAGCGGCAGTATCGAATTAAGCAGGGCACTGCAGCGGCAGTACTGAATTAAGTAGGGTACTGCAGCGGCCGTATCGAATTAAGCAGGGCACTGCAGCGGCAGTATCAAATGAGCAGGGCACTGCAGCGGCAGTATTGAATTAAGCAGGGCACTGCAGCGGCAGTATCAAATGAGCAGGGCACTGCAGCGGCAGTATTGAATTAAGCAGGGCACTGCAGCGGCAGTATCAAATTAAGCAGAGCACTGCAGCGGCAGTATCAAATGGAGCGGGCACTGCTGTGACAGTATCAAATTAAGCAGGGCATTGCAGCGGCAGCATCAAATTTAATTTAACTGATCAGAATTAGATGGGCTTTCTCTGTGTGAAAATTATTGGTCCTGCTATTGCTCTTGAAGGCGTCAGATGACCATCGACCGAGAGCTTGGATCTGCTGCTGTGAGAGGCCTTTTTGAGCTGCTGTAATTGCTGCCCCGATTCGGGAGTGGCTGGAAAATCTTTCTACGGGTATGCCTGGTTGGACGAGGGTGAGTTTTAGATGTTTTTGAAACCAAAAACGTGTGACGGGGTGGTTACATTCATCGACAAAAAGAGGGTCAAGAGGGGATGTAGACTGAGAGCTTCTGAATTGTAGGCAAGAAAAAGGGCTTGATACGGTTGGATTGGTGACGGGAGGTTAAAAATTTAGACGTGGTGAACTCCTTTTCCTGATCTGATTTACTTTGTTTGATGAAATAGGAGATAGTTTCGCTGTCGAGCACGGAAAGGTCAGAGACAGTTGGATGGAGTTTGGGGTTGAATAGAAGTTATTGTGAATTCCAAGCATCTCAGGAAACCAAAAAAAGCCAGTATGAACATTGCGTCGAGTGTACGAGCGTTATGAAGTGAGTGGTACCCTGTGCAGAGAAGAGACTTGGAAAGATGTGCCTAGCAGTATGCACAACGCATGCGAATTAGGTTGCTAGTTGTACTTGTTCAATAATAATATTAATAGTTTCTTTATGATACGCCTTAGTTGTTAGTTTGCACCTATAATTGTACACTGTTGAACTTATTTTCACGAAAATAAATATTTTTCATCTTATCTGTCTATCCGAGTACAATGTGTAATTTAAAATACAGGTAAAGTGCTAGTGAAAATTAATATAGAAAATTTGAGTAATTTCATTGTGTTCTATGCAGTTTTGCGTCAGTTACAAAAATGACATCAACATCTATAGTGTCACCACGTCGTTTAACAACTTTTAACAACAAACTACCTACCTTTAGCGACTTTACCTAAAAATGTAATTGCAACACGGCCTGCGCCTGCTAGCGGAGGCAGCCTCGCGCTAGCGACTGCTACGAGAGCTGGAGGCCCAGCTACATGTGGCGCTGCGACCGGAAGAGCCGCGGTGAAAAGTTGAGCCGAAGCGGGAAGTGAATGAGGTTTTGCTGCGATGAAAACTGGGGCACGGCCCAGGCTCATTTGAGGCCTGCCACTGCGACCCAAAGCTCGAGGAAAGCCGGGTCTTGTGCGGGACGATGGTGGTGTCGAGTGAGACGAGTTGAGTCTGTGATATAATGGCCAAAGGAGCAAAACCGAATGCTGGAAAACTCAGATAATCAATATACATGCCAGACCAGTATGTGGCGCTGTAATTCTGTCACAGAGATACACTAAAAACAGATAAGAAGACTTGGACTATGTGCATAAACCTTGCGCTCGGTATACAAACGAGAATGGAACAATACATTTATTAATCTGTGTTAATATTAGTTAATAAAAAGACAATCGTTCAGTGTTTGTTCATGTTTTTGTTGCTGTTACGTGACGTAGCGGTGTCTGAT